TCATCATAACTTCACCATGGCTTCTGAATGGGAGATATATAAGACTCTGAGAGTGTGGACAAATGTGGATGGCATAGAAGTTTTTCAGAATACTGATACCTTTCCAATAATATAATGTACACATACTCATTCGTAACATCTCTCTTCTCCAGTGATTCTTTACATCTAACGTAAATGTCTCCCTAATATAATGTGTTATACAGTATATATTACATATAATATGTAGTATAATGTATATATTTTATAATACATATCTTATATATAATGTATACATTATATTATGTATACACGACATACACTGTATAAAATGCATCTAATATACATTATATAGTTAAATAATATTACATCACACAATATATATAAAACATATAATGTATATATTATACATTATATTAGGGAGACATATCCTGCTGCCTCCAGCGAAGGATCACTAGGTACAAGGAAAGACATTACAAATGAATGTAGTATGTATTGCATATGTCAACTGTTAGGCAAAAACAAAAAATGACCTATTTTTAAAGCATATGTGAAAACACAAATTGGACCCCTTCTTAAAGTATTTAATGAAACACATTTACAAAATACCCAAACATCAAGGAAAAGCAGCAAAAGTTTTGTACAATAATCTGGGTACTAATTCTATATAGGAGATGACAGACTCTGCAGTGGAAATGACTGGAGCCCTGGATCTCATTAGGACAAGCCCCCACTTTTCTCTCCCCAGTCAGTGTCCCCAGCACCTGGCATGTGATCAGGGATACACACAAGTTAGGAAAGCAAACACCGGAGTCGGATTGTCTGGGTTTGATGCCCAGCTCTATCACTCTATCCCAGCCTATGACCCTGAGTGATTTACTTAGCCTTTTTGTGCCTCAATTTTTTAATCTGAAAAATGGCACCTATTCCATAAGGTTGTTTTATGAATTAATGACAATAGTAACAACTAATACATGTAGCAGTTAACCTTGTGCCAGACACTTCTCAGTACTTTTCATTTATACCTATTTATTCATTTACTCCTTCCCCAAACCTTATGAGACAGAAACTAATATCCCAATTGAAAGATGAAGAAACTGAAGCTCAGAGAAGTTAGTAACTTACCCAAGGACCCACAACTCGTAAATGGCAAAAAGAATTCATGTTCCCAACCACTCCATCATCCTTGAGATAACAAATGTAAAGGCTGAGTACGGTGCCTGGCATATAGCACATGTTTAATAACTAGTATTTATTAATAAGCATTTGTCAAACGTTTGTAAGATTCTGAGGTTACACCAAGGCTCGGCAGGAAAGAATGCTGTGATCAACTGGTGAGGCGTTCCGTGCACGTGGAATACGTGTGTGATCACACTATGCCCCAGGTTTACGATTCCTCTTCCACATAAAACAAAGAATCCTGATGTCTGGCTGTCTGAAGTTTTCTCTTCTTCATCTCAGTGTCTCTGGGATATTATGTCAGGCTGTCATTATCTGACATCAGATTTCATCTCCACTCTCTCCTTCTGTTAACCCACTCACTACCCATCCAACTGCCAAAGTGCTCTTCATTACCTACTCCTTTCAAGGAACCTACCTTGAATTGGCTACTTTATCCAAAACAAAATTCCACCCCCTTGCTTTCAAGGGACTTAATAAGACATGGAAGGAACATGCCTTTAACTCTAGTTCAAGTGCTCAGGTGCCTACTTATCAAATGAATACTTGATAAGAATGGCCATGTTTCATTATGCAGAGAATAGCAGTAGTGTTTGTGTTACTTCACAACAGTAATAAGCAATTTTTAAATTTTATTTATTTTGGACACAGCCCAACAGGAAAACCTTTTAAAATTTTTAAGGATCTCATTTGATTTTTATTCAGGATGAAACAAGCTTGATTGGAGGACAAAAAGGGAAGAATATCAGAGAAAAATCTGCATTATTATATGCACCATAATGTTAATATCCAGACAAATTTCAGTCAGCTTTCTAATCGTTCATCCTGAAATTAGATCATGAATCATAGGGTAAACTTCCAATGACTGGGGATGGAAAGTCAGGACTATTTAAAAAAAAAAAAAAGGAAGGCATAACACTCTTCATATTCAAGATCATACAATGCACTCATTTCCAAGAGTATTTTGAAAGGCTAGCTAGAGCTAATCAAAACATACAAATTACTAGTGCTTATATCAAGGGGCTGCTTTTAATAAATACAAGTTACTAAGTAGCCAGTGGTCTGAATTAATGTCTGTAAGCCAGCCACATCAATGGACAAACATAACATGGATTTAATTTAAAATTTAGAAAGAAAATCAAATATGAACTTTGAAGACTTAGCAATTTGCCAGAAGTTTAACTGGCTTTTCTACTCAACATGAGGAGATGAAGGATTGTACTAGAAGTTCATCTGATTTGCTTAGAAATGCAACTAATTTCTGACAAAAGGCATATCCAGATGTAGCTACATCTAGATCATTCCTGAGTTGAACATTATGATGTCAACTCAGGATTTCTGAATGTACACTCAACACATCCAACTGGACAATTCACATGTTCAGATAGCTGAAATAAGCAAGTCAGTAAGTACCAATACAGTGTTTTTTTCTTTGTTTGGTTTTGTTTTGTTTCAGCGGGATCGTTATTGTTCCTTCAGTTGAGGAAGTTGGTCTTAGTTGACTATATCAGTTGGCTCCAATTTAATGAAACGTTTGATGATTCATATAAAGTTATGGCTAAAAATAATCAATACTAGAAGAGGTGATGTAGTAAGGTTGGGAAGATTCTAGAATTGGTATTCATTTAACAAATATTTAATAGGCAGCTGAGATCCATTAGCCCTCAGGGGTAGAGAACTGACTCATATTTTCAAGGATGACCATGAGTCATTTCTCGTAGTTTCAATTGAAGCTACTCCTAAATCTTTCACAGGGGGGAGAAAAAAATGCTAGGACTAGACAGAAGCACAAACCCAGTGGTTTATAAGTGTGTCTAATTGGTAAATGTATCCTCCCTGAAGGCATCTGGCATTTTCTGGGCAGCATCTACTATTTCTTCTACCCCTCCGATCCTGAGCAAGAATTACCAGGTTTTGCTTCTCTATAAAAGGCAACCTCGCTCTCTGGATTGTAGCTGTAAGTAGTCTTGGGAAGAGTCCTTGAAGGAGGAATGTGATCGAACTGTGTTAAGACCTTTGTGCCGAAAGTAAACAGAGGTAACTATTACTAACAATTCTTTATATTTTATCAGTCCTTCTCAGAAGCTAATCCCCAAAACAGTCTCCTCTCCAGGAAATCATCTCTCTGCTGAGGACACCCTTGGGACCACGATGCTCCCATTTCTCCCTCCAAGCCTTTCAATGGGAATGAGTCCTATAAAACAAAGCAAAAGTATGCAAGAAACTGGCCCTAAAGACCTCAGTACGGTAAGGGACTTGGATTCTCTGCCTGCTGATTTAAATGGTGCTTATGTTACAAAAGACTGTAAAGAAAACACGTTTCTTCTTAAAATTCCCAAGAACCAGCTAATACATAAATTACAGGTGAGGTAGTATATTCAAGAGCAGATTCCCAAAAGGCAAAGCAATTTGCTGTATATACGCTTGAACAGAAAACAAGCAGCCTGTTCATTTTCCAGGGAGATTCTAATAACATCTCATGCCTTTGAATGAAGATGTAATGGAGCAAACGGTAAACAAGAGGTACCTACTTCCCAGTGCCTTCCCAAAGGCATTGACTCAGTATTAAAAAGAAACATAGATATTTACAGTGTAGCTATAAAATGTCTACAATAATAGAGTCACAGAGTACATTTTTTTATACATATATATTTTAAAACAGAGTACCTTTTTGAAGTTCAATTTAGCATCCATCCCACAAACATAAGACTGCCAACTGAAACAAGGTCTGGAAAAGCATAGAAAATAGTGGCTTAAACTCTGTGTAAAACAACCATAGAAAACTACTCCCCAAAACTTGAAACAGAAAATCAAACATTCACGTGTAATTGAACTGCTGGAACAAATCTGCCATATTGACCTTGACAGGGCCTTGAACGAGATCATAAATCAGCATCCTGGTGATATCCATTATAAACTTAGAAATGCCTTAAAACCTAAGACTTCATTTTATTCTCAGTGATTACCAGGATGTTTGGAAAGCACTGTGCTCTCTGGAGCTTACTTTGAAAGATTCAAAGATTCAAACACCGATTTCCAGAAGGCCACCCCCAAGCCACCCAGACACTTAAGATTTTCTTCAATCCTCTCGATCAGGTTCTGCTTCCTGAATAACTTATTGTTTATTTATTTATTTTCAAATTTCAGTAATTACAGCACCTTAGGCTCTTGGCTATCAGCGGTGTGGCTTGTTTCAGAGAGTTCTGGAAAATTATGTTTTAATGACATTCCACTTCTTTGTGCATTTCATTAAAGGCTCTCCGTTAAGGCTTATAAATTATTCAGGTGAGGGAAAATGCCTTATGAGTGGCTCATAAACGGCGTAACGGTAAGCATCATCTAAGAGAAAGGCATGACACACGGTCCTGCAAGGACGCCTGTTTTTCCAACCACCGCCCCTTCCCTCCCCACACCACGCACCCCCAAAGACAATGCGAGGGTCTCTCTGAACGCCGACACCATCTCCGAGGCCGCGCCCCAAGCCTAAACCAGAAACACCCGCGTGGAGGTAGATCACTGCCGGCGTCCCACCCTGCCCCCAGGAGCCACGGCTTCCTGCTTTCCCCATCAAGGTGAAACTAACCCCTCGGAGCCCGCTGGGGGGCGGACAGAGGCAACGCAGGCTGAGGCAGCCGACCGCAGGACTGGCAGGAAGGAAGTGAGCGGGAGCAAAGCGCATTTTCCTCCCGCGGAGCAAGCCCGGGACAGGACGTCGCCAGCGGAAGAGGGGCCGGCGCGCGCCAGGCCACCGGACACACGCGTCCGGCGTGCACACTCGCCTGTGCCGGTGCGCGCTCACACACACACACACACACACACACACACACGCGAGCGCGCCTACTCACCAGCAGCCCCTGATGTCCGGAGCCCGCGTGGGATGGCGACTGCAGCGGCTGTTCCCGCGCCTGCCGTGTGGTCTTGGCATCCGCCTGGCCGCTGCAGCCCGGGCCGCGGTGGCTTTTGCTAGAAGGCACTGCAGTAGGGTGATAGGGGACCCAGCGAGCAGGCGCCCGCTCCCTTTACTCTGCCGACCCTCCTCCGCTTCTCTGAGGACTGATGGAGCTTTGCTACCTTCACTCGTTTGGCTTCTGTGCGTTCCTCTCTTCCTCCTCCCTTTCGCTGCCGTAGCTCCCCAGCGCCCAGCGCAGAGAGCTCCCTCGAAAACCCACGCGCAGGCCTGGCGATCCCGAGCCTGCAGCAGCCGTCCCTGATGCCGCCGCCGCCGCCGCAGGAAAATAAACTGTCACTGCGATGGTCCCGGCCTCCTCTGCCCCGGCCCCTGGGTGCCGCCTCCGCCTCTGCCTCCGCCCCTTCCTCGGCGGCGGCCTCCAGTGTTCCGCAGAAAACGCTCGCGGGTGGAAGCAGGTCCCCGCGGTTCGGCCTAGAGCGAATGTGAAACAATCGGGTGCGACTTTCTCTTCTGAAACCCCGCCCGTCCCCTTCTCAGCCCAGAACCACCTGAACTCTCATTTCGCTCCACCATCAGTTTCACTGAGGTGGACCAGAGTGGGTGCCTTTTAAGTGCACACGTGAGGTGATACAGCTGGATTTGACCGTGAACTCGCATCGCAGTCAGAGGAAGGATAGGGTTTTCGTGAAAATCCCACTTACACCGTATTAGGAATTCCACCTTGAGATTTATCCATAACACCCACCCCCCCCACACCGTGAAACAGTTTAGTCCTCTTCCCCTGTCCCCGCGCTGTGTCCTGGGGTAATGCAGGCTATTATGATATCTTTGGGATATTATATTATTATCATGTGCAGTGTTTTTAGTATGGTCCTGGCACTGAGCCAGGCACTCTACATGAAATCTTATTTCATCCTCTCCACAGCCCTTATAAAAGGTACTCTTACTATTCCCATGACTGAGGCACAGAGGAGCAAGGTAATTTGTCCCAGGTGACCCACCTGGAAAGTTGTAGAAGTTAAGATTTAAATTCTGATCAGACCCCAAAGGCTATTCCTATTGGCTTTTAATGTGTAAATCTCTGAATGTGTAAACATTATACAAACACTACTCCTTCCGGGTGAAACGCAGACATTTTTTTACTTTTCCTGAGTTTGGTTGGGAGGTTACTTCCAAGAGAGGGAAGTGACTGCAGAGAGAGGTAATGGAACATGAACATTTTCTAACCTGCTTTTCTTCAGGAGACCAGACTTCTAGCCCTGGTTCTGTCACCAAATGAGCTGTTTGGCCTAAGGCATTTCACCCTCTTAGGCCTCATCTCCCTGCACTGGTTTTTGAAATGGAGAGGTCTGACTATTACAGGCAGCCTGCAGCCTTGATTTTTAGGAAGCAGTGGTGTCATTGTTTTTGCTAATTTTGAATTTGAGTCTAAATTTTAACAAAAATTCAGACGTCGGGCATGTGCTGGGAAGTTGGAAGGACTGGCAACTTTTGCTTCATGGTGGGTCCTAGCAGCCATCAGCTAGAACTAAGTAGTAGATGTATCCTTTAGACTGGGAAGATGCTCTTCACTTTTCCCCAGTCCCCACCACTCCTATATGCCCCATCCCCTGACATTGAGGATATGATAGACATTTGAGTGTGTAGTTCGGAACTAGATAATCTCATGACCTACTAGACAATCTAAAATTCAGTGATAATTAAGAAGATTAATCAGGGGCTTCCCCAGTAGCCCAGTGGTAAAGAATCCACCTTCCAATGCAAGGGAGGCGGGTTCGATCCCTGGTTGGGGAACTAAGATCCCACGTGCCGCAGGGCAACTAAGCCTGCACGCCACAACTACTGAGCCTGCACGCCTCAACTAGGGAGACCGCGTGCTGCAAAACTACAGAGCCCACATGCTCTGGAGCCTGTGTGCCACAACTAGAGAGAGAAAAACCGTCATGCCACAACTAGAGAGAAGCCCGTGTGCTGCAATGAAAGGTCCCACGTGCAGCAATGAAGATCCCGCATGCCACAACTAAGACCTTAGGCAGCCAAAAAAAAAAAAAAAAAAAGATTAATCAGATTCCTAAAAAGTATTAGGAAACAAAGAATGCACATAAATATTTACAGTGGTCCTTGATCATAGTCTTGTTACCTAGAATCCCAAACTCTCATAAAAGGCAAAATAGCTCAGCACTCACTGTCTCCTCCCCTCAGCAGCTAGCATCATGTGACCTAAGTTCAGCCAATCAGAGTCTCCTACCCAAGTCTCTGAATCTGCAGTCTGATTCAAAGGGACATTTTAGAAATAATACCATTATCTGTAAAGTAGCTTTCGTGCCCATAGACAGCAGTGCCAGCGGTGAGAGGTGGGACTCTCCAATGGCAGTACCAGTGGTGTCCTAAGTGGGCTGCTTGGGTGGTGTGGCCTGTTCTGATTCCAGCTACCAAGCTGCCCTGCTTGTTTCATGAGCCAGATTCTCCAACCTTTCTGTCTCTTTGGTATTCTATGTAATGGCCTTCCAAGACATTTCTCTTCTGCTTAAGTTAACCGGAATTGGTTTTAGTGTTTGCCATGAGAACTCTGACACAGCGAGGTTGGGTTGATCCAAGCTCTGCCTCCCTTTCATTAACTGAATTAGTGAAAAGTGGGCACAGAAATATTTATACATCTTTTATCTTAGAGAATTTTAAAGTGTTCTATAATGTTGCTTGCACTTTTAAAGATTCTATTTCAATATAAATCCCTTTAAAAGATAGAAATTTTTTTGCCTTTATCAATTATATCAACAAAGATTGTGTATAAATAAACATTGCCAATCAATACTGGTGAGGATGCAATGAAATGAGCCCCCTCATCTGGTGGTATAATTTGGATACACTGCCAGGGAAGGAATTTATCAGTATGTTAACAGAAGCTGTAAAATATACACATCCGTTTGCCCAAAGTAATTTCACTTCCAGGAAGCAATGTATCCTAAGGAAATATGAAATGAGGAATCAGATTTTTCCACTGGGATATTTATCACCAACTTTGGGCATTAGAGTTATGTTTATGATGAAGCTGCTTATGATACAATGTTAAATAAATAAGAACGGGGCTTCCCTGGTGGCAGTGGTTGGGCTGGGCCCCTGAGCCATGGCCGCTGGGCCTGCGCGTCCGGAGCTTGTGCTTCGCAATGGGAGAGGCCACAACGGTGAGAGGCCTGCATATCGCAAAAAAAATAAAAATAAAAATAAATAAATAAATAAATAAGAACGATACAAAACTGCATAAACATATAATCTCAAATAGGTAAAAACACAGGGAAAACATCTAGGAGAATTTATTAAAATTATCCCTAGAGATTAGTTATAGGCAATTATAATTGCCTTCTTTATACTTTACTGTAATTTAAATTTCCTATAAAGGGCATGATTTCATCTTATTTAAGGAAAAAACGATTTAATAATTAAAAATAAACAATATTGGAAGCCAGAAAAATATAAGGTTGCATGTATCACAGTGCCTCATTCAAAATAGGTACATAATAAATGTTTGAGAAAAGGACAAAGGTAGGAATAAAGAAGAGAGAGAGGAAAAAATGAAGGACACACTGTTTCACAAAGAAGAGTGATGAATTAAGGGACTCCCCTGTCTTTTGTTTAGTTGATGGTACATATAGAAACAGGGCATTACATTCTAAATTGCTTTATTAAGTAATGCTGCATTTGAGTATTTCCCAAATGTGATAAGTAGCAAAACATTAATACCTTTCTCACTGTACAAGTAACAGGGAGTCAGCCCTCAGATTTTTCTCCCGTTCCACAACATCAGAGATACATCTGTTCAGAGAAGCTGGATGAGCGCAGGGTGCTGCTATTCAAGAAAAAGAGGCAACCTCTTGCCTCTGGCCATCACATGGAGATCTGCCACTCTCCTTGGGGCACCCAAAAGTCCACCCAAAAGTCCATTGCCCCATCAGTCGACATCCTAAGAGAATCTTATTTGTTGGAACTGACAGAACAAGGAGAAAGTGGGCAGTGTTGAATTTACATTGATTGAAAAACTGAAATTAATTTGTGCCCTCCTGAATCGTTTGGTGTTTGCACATACAATGGTGCTCCTTGGGGAAATAATCGCCCTTACAGGAGGTCCTTGCTGAGACCAGATGGACTGGAGTTCTTGTTCTTTGTTTCACAGATTTAGAATTTCCTGGCTCTGGATTATCTTTAAAATCAAGGGGAAAAATGAATTAAAATACCCGACTCATTCTATTAGAAGAAAAATTCATCTCATAGGTTGTGTACTTAAAAGCATGTACCTCAGAAATTACTATATTCTTAAAAACATGTGTTCTTAAAACTCTGGGGTTTGCTTTTGTTTATACCAATAATTCTCAAAGTATGGAAGTGACCCTTGAAATCTTTTCAGACAGTCAAAACTATCCAGTCTAGGGCTTCCCTGGTGGCGCACTGGTTGAGAGTCCGCCTGCCAACGCAGGGGACACGGGTTCGTGCCCCGGTCCGGGAAGATCCCACATGCCGTGAAGCGGCTGGGCCCGCGGGCCATGGCCGCAGAGCCTGCGCGTCCGGTGCTCCGCAACGGGAGAGGCCACAACAGTGAGAGGCCCGCCTACTGCAAAAACCAAAAGAAAAAAACCAAAAAACAAAACTATCCAGTCTACTCAGCAAGGTCAAAGCTATTTTCATGAAAACACAAATCCATTCTTTGACTTTTTTTTTCATTCTCTCATGAGTTTGCAGCGGACTTTTCCAGAGCTACATGGATGATGTCGCCACAGCTAGAATGCAGGTGCAAGTGTGAGAATCCAGTCATCTCTTATGAAGCCAGATGTGAAAGAGATTTGTAATAATATAAAACACTGTCAATTTTCTCACTAGTTTTTGTTGTGTTTGGGAAAAATATCATTATATTGTAATGAAAATGAGATGTTTAGTTTAACGTGTAATCAGTTTATTATTTTTAATAGATTGATAAATATTTTAAGTTTCTCTATATTATTTTCTAGTATAGTAAAAAATGGATAGATATAACTCACTTAAATGAAAGCTCTCTAGAGTCCGTGATAGTTTTTAAGATTAAGACTGTATAGGTGCACACCTGAAACTAACACAACACTGTAAATCAACTATACTTCAATAAAAAATAAATTAAAAAGAAAAAAACTGGGGGCTTCCTTGGTGGCGCAGTGGTTGAGAGTCCGCCTGCCGATGCAGGGGACGCAGGTTTGTGCCCCGGTCCGGGAGGATCCCACATGCTGCGGAGCGGCGGGGCCCGTGAGCCATGGCCGCTGAGCCTGTGCGTCCGGAGCCTATGCTCCGCAACGGGAGAGGCCACAACAGTGAGAGGCCCGCGTACCACACACACAAAAATATATAATAATAATAATAATAATAATAATAAAGAAAA